ATTAGAAGGTGGGCTTAAGAACTACCTCAACTCTAGTGCCGAAGGCAATGACGACATAGAGCACCGAGAAAAAGAAGACAGTTGTCCTCTCAAATCTTCAAAAATGGAAGACACGTGCACTATTTTACAAAAAAATGTGCCCATGCTTTTCAAAAAGCAAGATGTCACGATGTCATTACTTTTCAAAAGCAAGATGCCCCACTATCCAAGTGTCCTCTCCTACTTTTAATTGTGCAATAAGTAGAGACGTTTGAAGTCCGGGAGAAAACTATATAAAGGATGCAGAATTTTATCTAGAGTTCATAAATTATTAGAAATTAGAGATAAGTGTTGGGAAATAAGTTTCCAAAGAGAACTGTAAAACAATAAAAAGCATGTAAAGAGAGTGAACTATTGAGAGGTTGCGCTTTGGTATCAAAGCCTCGTCAGATCTAGAGTCTTATATTGTAATTTAAATCTCTATTAATTTTCTATTCAATTTTTTTCTCCAATCTCTATCTTCATTATGTAGTTTTTCTTACTATTATATCTGTATTTGTTTGTTAATTAAGTTATGTCTAGAGGTAGGAAACGAACTAGGTTGTGCTCTCTTTATGAAGCAGTGTGCTAGGATGGCGATAAACCTTATGTGTTGTTGGTTTCGATTCCTAAGTTCGTATAGAAAGGCATGTATAGAAAGACACGCCCCGACAGTGTGTTCAGCTTGAAAGAAAAGGGTCAAACCCTTGATTAATAAATAAAGAGATAAAAGTGTTAGTAAGAATTAAACTATATAAAAGGAGATAGATAAAGGAGGAAGATATTATATAACCCTATCTATACTTGAGCAGGAAACGTGCACGATTACTACCGAACCTAAGAGTTACAAGCACTAACTTCATCTTCACTCTACAGAGTCACCATCTAACTAAGACTTAGCATCAATGCTAAATTCGGTAATAGCATCAGTGCTAAATTTGGTAAAAGACTTCTAATATCCAATAGAGGATATCAATATGGATATCTTAAATCTTCAAAAACAAATTGAAGAAATAAAATCCCTAAATACAAGAGTTATTCGAGGGAAAATCAAAATTCAAAAACACAATACTGAAGTTTTTGCTCATATGTAGCATTGATCAAATCATTTATATGTGATGATGAAAACAAAAGGTCTTACAGATATCTTTCAACTTGAAACCTATAATCCTTCAAATAAGATAGTATTAAGACAACAAATGCAAACCTTAACGCAACAAGTACAAGATCTACAAACAAAATTTACAGCTTTGCAGCAAGCAAATCAACTTCTTGATAATAATATTATTATTATAAATTAATATTTACATGAAGATGAGTTTTCGTCTGAAATTAGTGTATTTGACGACTCCTTAGTCATTAATACAATGCAACATTGAGAATCATCAGTCACAAGCTCATCTCCTAACCCACCTAATGATCAATCTTCTCCACCTCCACCGTGTAATCCTAATATTTGATTTGCTGAAAACATTTCCCCTCTTTTATTTCTGAAATGGCAAGACCTGCCTCAGCTGCACCTTTCTCCTTGTGAAAGCGTGGTGATTTACTTACCCGTATGCGGACAAAATCCAAGTATATGTATGAAGTCGATATACATAGTTCTGTTATCATGGGAGGACTTTATTTTAATATAGACAATATTCCCATTAGGGAAAGTAAACTATGCTAATAGAAGGACCTAACATATAATTGGGTTAACTCATTTCTACAAATGGAATAACCCCGAGTTCATAGAATATATAACATCATTGTTGACAGTATTATGGCCACCAATTGGATGAAATTATTATAAATTAATAAAGGACAAAATAAAGAAAGATTAAAAATTATGACACCAGAAGAGGCTTTAGCTGCTTTAATGAACCAACTTCATAAAGATCTTTGTGGTTAAGCCTTTCATAAAACTGACCCTGATAAAGGAAACTCATACAAATGAAATTTTGTCAGATTTCAGATTTGCTTTATAGAAGAGTTTATAATTGACTATTTTAAATTAGTCTATCGACAAGCAACAAATAGACTGGCGAACAGAACAAATTTTCAAAAAACTACCCAAGCCTTGGGATACTCTTTTCGAGGACACATAGCTACACAAAATTCTTGAAAATCATAGATCTAGTAGAGCTATCAACTCTTGTATTAAGAACTAGAACAATATTGTCAGTTATCTCAAGCCTTTAAGCAAACGAAAAGGCAACTTAAAGATAGTAAGGTCGAGAAATCTTGTTGTCACATGATACAAGGATATCCTATAGATTATGGTTGTACACAACCCTCTTGAAGAAAAAAAGGCTACAAAAAGAAATTTCAATAACCACATAAATTTAGAAAGCGAATATTTTCTCAATTGAAAAATTCACAAATGGGGAAATTTCATGTGAAAAAAATCAAAATTCACTGTTAAACCTCGAATTTCGAAGAAAAAATGCAAACGTTTCATATGCCAAGAAGTTGGCCACTATGCAAATGAATGTTCTAAAAACACATAAGTGAAATAATTATAGTCGAGGACATATGTGAATATGGATTGGACCGTATAGACGTAAACCAATTCCAATTAGATTCTGAAAATTCATATTATGAACTAACATCGGAATCAGACATAGAAAGTGAACAGGATTATAAACACCCTAAATTTTCCATGGTGAATAAAATAGCATATCAGATGAAGATATAGAACCTTCTCGGTTTCAGACCCTTCTCGGTTTCAGACAAAGATTTAGAAAGGCTAAAGCTACTCAATCTTAAAACCTCATAAAAACAATGTTTATAAGAATATCAGCATTTTCAATACCAAATTTCTCAATGAACATTATTATATTTTTGATCATGTCGATTGAAACATCAAACAACATAGGGAAGAAATTTTTATAAGCATTCCACTCCTAAATCAAAGAAAAATAAGTAAATTAAATGAAAAATATAAAGATAAGAAATATCTTCATCTTGGACTTATACGAGTCAAGATTACTGAGCAGTTCTAGTCTCCAGCATTAATACACCTATTATAGTACTCTGCATGGATGAAAGAATTATCTCCAATCCATTAGACGCCTTAATAGAAGGATGTAAATCCAAATTAGAAAACAGAATTCTAGGAATCAACATTCACAAGGATTACTCTATTGCTCTTAGTGACCATCACATATTTGATGGGGTAGAAATAAGTATCAATCTCAAAGGAATTGAGATGAAACCAAGTAATTGAGTGCTCAGAATACAATGGGAATCTATAATAGCACTAAGCCAAACATCTGCCTTTAGCAAAAAAAACTAGAGTAATAATTAGTCATTTTGAGGTACAATAGGAAAGATAATAGAACCATGTACTGTAAGTTTAAATGATCTTTAAATTGATCCTAATCTAGAAATCAATTTAAGTTATTTGAGAAACGTTTAGGTGCTTTTTTCCATACCCTCGCCTGTTAAAGGAAGGTAAGAAAATGGATTATAGCTCGTTTTAGTGGCATCTTCTTCCCGTTCTCGACAGCCTATTGATTGGTATGGTAACAAGGTTCACATACTTTTCCTCACATAGTACCATACATCAAAGTGTATGCGATCTGTCCCGCTGGCATAAAGGCGCGGATCCATCTTTATAGGCTTCTAGGAGCGAAAGAGCTTGTTTCTAGTAATACAATCAGAACTACAAACATAAACCATGTAAATCCTAGAAAAAGTCTCTCCCTTCGGAAAAACGATGGATCTAGTTCATCTTCTAAAGAGACTAAAGAAATCTTGAATCCACTGGGAAGTATTCAAGTCCCTGTGGAAAAATCAAGATGTCTAGTTATGACTCTGGGAACATCATGAAAGAGTTCTATGCCCACGCTCTAAGTGTGGATAAAAAAACAAGTCAACTAGTTTATAAATATTACAGTTGTTTATTCAGAATACAAGCATTTTACGCTCCGTACACTAATGGATACTGAAGCCAATATAAACATTATTAAAGGAGATTTTGTCCCTTCACAATATAGAAGACAATGCAAAATTTCTGAAATAATTACGTCCTTTAATGCTAGGGCAACAACAATGATTGAAAAAGGTTAAAAACCTCCCTTTAGTTTTTGAAACAATAGATATGAAGTGAATTACCTTAACGATTTTTGCATATATCATGGAAAGTGATCATTGGAAGATATTATTATTAGGAATAATAACATAAATCGTTGGTTTCCTATTATCATTGATAAATATGTTATCAATTTTAAATTTCTCCTTGATCAGAAGAAATTCCCTATTGTGAAAATTTTGTTTATGCTTCGCATTGGCAAAGGATTTACCCTTCTACATGCAGCATAGCGTGGTGAGATATTAACACCACCAACACCAACCAAAGAAGTCAACTAACTTAATTACAATATATCAGTTGTCAATGATTTTGAAAAATCTATTCATACAATATTAAAACCTTTATATAGTAATAATCAATTGTTACATTTTGATAAAAGTCCTAGATACTACACCATCAAATTAAAAGATGAGTATAAAGGAAAAATATTAGGATTAACCCTATAGCAGCTAACCTTGAAGACTGAAAGGAGTTTGAAACCCAAATAGCTGAGCTGTTGAAACTCAAATTGATTCAAAAAGCTGAATCAAACCATTCTTCACCAACCTTCAGGTAAGAAACCATGTTGAGAAAAAAGAGGTTCAGTAGGATGGTCACTAATCAAGTTGATGGGTTCTTCCCCAACCTTCAGGTATAATACCATGTTGATGGGTTCCTCATTCGATGAATATGTGATATAGATAAATCTTCTTAACCAAGTGTCATTGCAACCTAAGTATATAGGTAAGTGTAAGATGCTCTGTACTACCTGTCCAAGCATGGGTAAATCAGGAGCATGGAGCACGGAAATAACAATGCTAATAGTCCACCAAATTAATGCTACATCATACACATCAATTCCAAGGAAAAAAAAGTAGAAACTAAAAGTACATCTAACATGAAGATAACGGTGAAGAAGGATTACTTAGGGTTCACAAATTCTGCAATCGCGCCTTTGGTTTTATTTAACTCTTCAATGTATTGTCCGAGTTCCAAAATTAACTGCCAAAAATAATCAAATGGAACATAATCACGGTCTGACCAATCTACAATGTTACAATGTATATGAAAAGTTTGACAAATTATAATAAAAGTTCACTAGAGTAATTTATTTTTATGTCAACAGGAATCCCTAATAAATTAGTTGTAGAAGTCATTCTACATTCAAATGCCAATGCAAACAAAACTAGTGTGAAGACCTTCAATAGAATTTTGGTCTTATACCATGTTATATTTGCTTTAGTAAACTTTCATGCTGAAAGCCAGTGATAAAATATGCTCTTCGAAGCCTGTGATAACTGCACATAAAGTTTTTTTATTAGGCAAAACTACTGTGGAGGTCACTTATGTATTGAGCAGATATCACTTAGGTCCTTTAAAGTTTGGAAATCATGATTAGGGCCCCTGACATTAGCTCTGTCATCAGCCTAGGTTCTTTTTTGCAAAATTCCATTTAATCTTGTTGACGTTGCAGTGACATGACATTTCACTGCCATGTCAGCAAAAAAATAGTGAGATTCCAAGTTCAATACAAACTTGTAATGTCACTAAGTTTTTGTTAATGTGGCAGTGGTGGAAGGATAAACTTGGACTTTCACTAACTGTTTGCTGACATGGCAGGGCCACGTCACGCCACGCTAGCAAGATTTAACAAAACTTTGTAAATGAAACCAGGCTGATGATGGAGATAACGTTAAGGACCCCCATTGATGACTTCCAAACATTAAGGACCCAAATGATATTCGGCAAACACATCAGAGATCTCCACTAAACTTCTGTTTTTTTATTACCGTGATTAAGATAAGATCGAAAGGATGTTTTTGTGCAAGGACGCATCAAGCATGGTCTAATTATGAGAAAAATGTGAAGCTAAATTTTTATTCTTGCCATGCTGTATGCAGCATTACTGTTTAGGATTAAATTAAACTGTCAATCTTGGCTGAACTGGATTCAATATGAGGATACTATGCTATGTTACAAATTACAAACCATTTCAGTAGAAAAAATAACAATGTTTACCCTAAGCATGTAATCCTACAATGCTCTTATTTACAAGCCGTATAGCCCTCAGTTTTCTCTCCCGGAGTAGCTAGGAGGCAAATAGTATCACAAGACAGGTGGCAGCAACATGATGTCACAATTTTGCATGATCCAAATGGAGATGATAATGGCTGTAAATGGTGGACTTATTGGTGATAATGACAGAGGTTTTCTTTCTTTAAAAGTGTGTGATAGGTAAATGTGGGAATAATTTGTGGAAGTGGAACCTGAATCCCACTGATGGATTAATATTTCCTCATTACATAGGATTTTTCTGGACACAATTTTGTAACATCCTCTGCTAGTATCAATTCTATTGTTCATGGAAGTGTTAATATCCCAGTACACAGATGACAGATCCTAGCCTGTCATTTTATTGGACTTGCAATATCCTGCCAGTATTTACGTTATTTGACCTTAAGAAACAAACGTTTTAAGAGAAATCAGATGTTTTACATAGGATTGTGCGAGAACAACTCTGCACAGGTGAAACATATCATATGCATATGAGATAACCTGAAGATACTTAGTGACTAAATTTCAGTAATATACAAATATGTTGAAGAATGTACCTGGTTTATGTTTCCAGGGAAGGGAGAATAGCCTGTTTCACAATTAACATCTCCATCAGCATGTCCAGTAGCCCTAAGCAAGGGGTCAAGCTGATTGTACTCCACATTAATAACCATCGTCCTCCCTGAAGTCAATAATTTGTTCTGTTAGTAATATAATAAAAAATACTGCTGTAAGGGGTTATTCTGATGCATCACGTGGAAGCTAGAATTATAGCGTCTATTCTGTCAAGCATAAACACAGAAAGTGATGTCCTTCACATAGTACCTAATTAAGAAAGCATATAACATACCAGTACCACTAGATTTAAAAGATTATTGAGTTAATGGCGTGCACACAGAAGGAGAAGAGGGACAGATTTCATCTCATTGAGCTTCAAATTTACCTTATGAAGTGATCGTCTAAGCTCAAGAAATTATCTGTTCTAGCGAACTCTCTGTCAAGGCAATAAGCCAGTAACTATAGTCATGCTATCAAGGTCAATGCAATTCAAAGCCCATTGCTAGTTGATCATCACATTTTACTACATTTTTATACCTTTATTATCTATTTTATTTGAATAAATATATAGACTAATAATAGGTTTTATATTAACTTACAGGTAATGAAATATTAACGAATAGGAGCCCAAAAGAACTAAATTCCTTCAATTTTCTATCATTTCTTGAAGCCCAACATTAAGCCAAGAGGAGGCTCACAAAAGCCGAAGAGATCAAGAAAAAATTGGATCAACAAGTCAACAAAAGAATCAATTCTGTTAGAAACCAACCGATTGGCCCGATTGGCCAAACAATTGGTTCGTAATAGAATCAGTTAATGGTTGAGATTTATTTCTTAGAGCTCAAGGTTAACCCAATGGCTTTTGTTAATTGTAGTAGGCTATAAATAGTGATAGAGAGTGAGGGGTTGTGGTGTAAAAAATTTTGTAAAAATTCTATTTGGAGAGAAGGATTACTTTTAATTAAGAAAACCTTACAAAATTGTAAACTTTTATTTACAATAAATAAAATATTTATTTCTTCTTCTTTCATTTCCATTCTTCTCTTTTGATAATGATGAAGTGAAGATGAAGATTTGCTTCACAAGGAGCCAACCCATTCGAATGTAAGTTTCCATTTTCTCTTTTTATTTTTCTTGTTTTAGAATTGCATAATTTAGTATTTTATTTTTTGGCTATTATGCTTGGTAGACTAGATTTATTTTATACTTATAGTGAAGATTTATTTCATGCTTTGTAAAATAGATTTACATTTTCTTGCTCGTTCTATTTCTTTTATTGTTCTTTTTAGTGTTTATTTTCCATTTTCTTGTTTTTTTATGCTTTATTTTTTCTTTTTGATATTAATACGTATAAGTAAATTCTTTAGGAGATCTTAGAACTGTATGAAACTATTTTAATTTTTTATGGTTTATTAGTTGCTCTCTTTATGTTTAAAATGATCATGTTTAGAATAATCAACTAGAAAACAAATTTGTAGAAAAAAAATGATAATTTATGCTTATCTTGAGTGGTCTAATAGATTATGCTTCTGAATTCTAGAATTACTATCAAATTGTTTGTTCTTTTCATGAATAAAAATTTTGCTTGGATGATAATTTGATAGATTATGCTTTCTTCAAGTGGTTTGATAATCTATGCTTAATAAAACTAAAATAAATGTAAGAAGAAGAGAGTAGTTCATAAATTTTAATTGAAGTTAATTAGTGTATTCAATTCTAGATCCCTAAGCTTCTCTACTTATTTTTCCCTCAATCCTTCTTGATTTGGTTCTTGTCTCATCTCTTGAGTTCCCTCTTCTTGATTTTCTTTTGATTGACTTTTCTCTTCTTCCTCCTTTCTTTTCTTCTCATGTGTTTTATTCTTTTTATTTTTCCTTTTTGTTATTCTTTTACTTGTGTCTTTCTTTTCTTCTTCTCCCCTCTTGTTTTTAGTTTTAATTTTTGTGGCAAATCAACCCTCTTTACATCACATTTTATTTCACTCATTTTTGTCTACTCTTCTAGGACCAAACTTAGGAATTTGCAAACACACATTTCTTATGGGTTTATTTACTATATGATAACTTGATAATTGTTTTCTTGCAACTATTGTGTATGTTTTATGCCCCATCAATTTTTGGTGCCGTTATCGGGGACGATGCTTACAATTAGAATTTTTCTATTTTGGTTCTTTTATTTTTTTTGTTTCTTTGTGAAAGACTCAATTATAAGATTGAAGATTAATAATTGAATATTGAAGAAGAAGATTTGCTTGAAAAGTTGAGTCCTCTTTCTAGTCTTTTCAATTCCACACTCTAGGTAGGATTTTCACGTTAGAGATAATTAGGAACTAATAAAAAATAAAAAAATTCTCTTGTCAACCCTAACAAAATCTTTCACTTGAACAACTACTAACAAGATAATAAATTCAAACAAGAGTTTTTTTCTCACATTTGTTTGATTATTGGCCCTAATTAAAAAATTATTTTCTTTTTGCATTCTTTTGTAGTTGCTTTTATTTGATAAGGTTTGGATTGCATATAGTTGTAGGAATTCACCAAAGTGATTTGAGTATTTTAATTTGAGCACTCACTTGAAAATACTCTAAAAGGCAAAAACCCCTAATCAAGATGAGGTGAGGGATTTTATCACTATTTTCTTAACCCATAAATTACTAATTCCTCACTACACAAACCCAAACCTTCTAAAACTAGATGTTGACCCTAACCACTCAGCTCATTAAGGAATAAGAAATTCTTAAGTGAACTAGTTTAAGTTTACATGAATGTATCTAAGGAAATATTTAGGGATTGCGTAAAGCGCTTCACAAGAAAAATGGTGCTTAATTGCTGTAAAACCCCGTGAATTTAAAAAAAAATTGCGATTTATAGTGACAAATAAGTTTTGATATGATAAATATCATATTTTTATGAATGAGTATGTTAGTAATTGATTTGAGATCAACTAAGAGTATATATGAAAGTATACAAGTGAAAACATGCACGAAACTGCAAAGCAGATTATGTTCTGGTTGGTCGACCGATGCCTTAGCATCAGTCGATCGATGGCCTTCAATCGGTTGACCGAAGCCTTGAGATCAGTCAACCGACGGGCCAGTTTCGTGATTTGAATTGAGTTCGGGTTTATTTTTATTTTGTTTCGGGTTTACCAGTATATATATATATACACGTACACTTGAAATCTCTCTTTTTCTGCATATAAACACATCCCAGCAGACACCAAAACCCTAGAGTTTAATTTTGGTGAGTTTAGAGAGTTTTGGAGAAGCACAAAACTTAGAGGCGGCGAGATTTATCGGTGTTTGACGAAGGAGGATCGTTCTCACACGTGTTTGGGAGTTCATCACGACGTCTAAGGCGAGTTTCATCTTCCCTAATCTCATCCCAGTTTTTAATTCATTTTATCTGCGTTTTATTCAATTGTTTCTGACCTTAAAACGTAGTTTACGTATAAAGATAACATTTTTTAAGTATATAATACAAAGATTTGATCTTTTTGTTTTAAAAAGATGTAATACAGATTCTCAATTGTGGATTTAAAGTTTTAAACATGATTTAAAGATGGGTTTTGATTAAAGTAGGTGTTTTTATAAAAACCTTAACACATATGACACATATGAACATACTAGGGTTTTCGTTAATTTCCCAAAATTTGTATGTGTTTTCATATAGCTGAGTTAACCTTAAACATGTTGTTTTAAGTTTAACACGTGAGCGTTATTGGGAATTTTCAACTTTTAATGAATTTATGAGATTGTTTAGAAAAATATAAAAAAATCTAGAAAATTTGTGCTAATCGGTCGACCGATCAAGTATGATTAGTCGACCGATGACTTAATTATAGGGTTTCGATATTTCTCTGTTCGGTCAACCGGTCATGGACAACCAGTCACCGATCAACGTGTTGGTGTTTGTCTTATGCAAGATGTCGGTCGACGGATGGCACAAGATCAGTCGACCGATGATGTATATTTTGAAAACTTGTATCTTTTGATACATGATTTGTTCGCACACACGAACTATGAGTTGTACATCGAGATACGTGTGTCGTATACAAGAGTACGCGTGATTGTTTTGAGCACGCACGGGCGTAATTGAGGTGTGTATACTATACTGTATTTTTGTCATGATAGATAGTAACATGTACATTGAATTGCATGAGGGTCGGATGCCTGAGTGGGTAGTTAGTCTTCCTGCAATGAGACCGCAGATGAGCTACACTCAGAGTACGTCGGTTTATATCCCGTAATGAGACCGCGGATGGGCGTTAGTCTACGTTGCATCATTCTGGAATAAGGAGATATACCTATTTTCGCAGAACAATTGAGTAAGATGGTTGTGTATTCGTTGATTCTGTATTGGACTATACAGATTTGCATTCATGCTCCCATGTTAGTTACCCGAGAGTAGGGTATAATACTGAAGTTGACATTACATGACATATACGATGTGAGTTCCTTTACCAAACATTATTATTGTGACTACGCCATCTACTCGAGGGTAGTATGATTTGACATGAAATATTTTTGGTTGAGGTTTGGAGTTGTATTTCTTTCATTTACTGTTTCATTTCTAAGACTCTGGAGTTAGGATTTAGCGATTCATAATTTAAAACATGATATATACACGAGGGTTTTCTTGTTTGGATTATTTTGCTCGACGTACTAATCCTCGTGTTGTGAATTTCTAAATCTCAATTTTCTTTTAGTTTAGGATAGATGATCTATATGTATATATTATTTGTACGATACTAATGACCTGGCAGTCATTACGTACACAAATTAGTGTGGAGAAAAGCAAAAAAATAAAAATAATATAAAGGCTCATTTGATATCAAAAGAAATGTTTCCGAAAATTAGCCTCTCACAACTTCAATAATTCTACATTAGTCCCTCAAATCTCAATAATTGCTTATTAGTCTCTCAAATTTATAATTTGGTCTCTTAATGATGAAAATAACTCAATAGTTATAATTTCTCTCTTAAAACTCATCTTGCTCAAAAAAAGATTATTTACACTTTAGTTATCTAAAGTTTACACATTTAACTTTAATACCAAAGGTTTTTAGCAATTAGATGCCCTAAAGTTCACAGCTTTTTAATTTTGATACCTCAAAGTTTTTCTTGACACTTTTGTTAAGACAAAGTTTATATCTTGTTAACTTCGATACCCAAAGTTTTTTTAGCACACTGATCTAAAACTTTAGGGTATGAGAGTTAAAAAATGTAAAACATTGGGGGTACCAAAGTAAAAAAATAGGAATATTTAACGTATGAAAGTTAAAAATGTATTAATGTTAGGTTAGCAAACTATCAAAAAAGGTTTGGGGTATCGAAGTTAAGAAAGGCGTAATTTTTGGGGTATTCAAATAAATTTGTAGATATCAAAGTTCTAAAACAATGTAAACTTTAGAGCACCAAAATGCAAACAACTCTTTAAAAAAAATTAGATGATGGTATTTTGGACATTGAGGAGTAAAATTGCAATAAGACTAGGATTTGGTAGAGTAATGAGCAATTATATAGATTGAGACAATAATATGGAATTAATAAAGATTTGAGGGATCAATATCTAAACAATGCCATGTAAAAATACCCTCTAAAATGCTAAATTGCATATAAACCTTTAAAAAATATTAGATGAGAGTATTTTCGTCATTGAGGTACTAAATTACGACTTTAGAATTTGAGGGACTAATGAGGAACTATTGAGATTTGAGGGGCTAATATTTAAATTTTTGAGAATTTGGAGGACTAATCAACGATTATAGAGATTTGAGGGGCTAATATACGATTATTGATGATAAGTAATAACCTTAATTTCTAAAAAAATAGGGCCACAGAGATTCGAACCTACAATCCTTGGGCCGCTTCTATGGGCTTTAACCAACTAAGACACCGTTTGGTTGAAAATTTTCTCACAAAAAAGTTTATGAATAGAAAAGTTACTATTCACTTCCCACTTGCTACAGTAAAACTCAAATAACTTATATATAAATATCAGGCCAATGAAGTTGCATGCATAAATCAGCATCTCTTCGTTCTTCAGAAAGAAAAATGTCTGAACAGACAAAATAGTCCATTTAAGATACTGATATAGTTTCAAGTTGCTCATGCAAGCTAATAAAAGATGGAAAAGCTGGAAAAGTATTGTTTTTCTCCAATCAAATGCTCATGTCAACCTGTTGGCATGTTTGATTTAGAGACACTTCACTGTGAATTCCGCTCCATCATTAACACATAGTTTACAATGACACTTGCATGACATATATCAAACAAAATGGTGCCATGTTGGAGTTCGATGAACTAAAATATACTATCGAAATAGTTTAATTTCTAAAAAATCATAAAGCTCGTGCATTTTGCACCACGGGAACGTGTGAACATATAAAAGATCCTTTAAGAAAAGAAGGATTAGTGTGTCAACAGACCCTAGACACTTTGAAAACATGTGAGTTGTTCGATAGATTTGTGCTAGATGAGGTATTTGACTTGACTTCGCGAATTCTTTTTCCATTTTTTTAAATTTGATCTAGTTAATTAATTAGGAAGAAGTTTTCTTTCTACTTCTAATAAAACATGCTGGTTTTTCATTTTTAGATAAGGATACATCACCCACAAAGGCATGTCCTTCTATCCCGGAATGCAACTTCTTTTTAAGAATATCACCATTTATAATCATTGGTGTATCAGTGTCCTTGACCATCTCATCCTTGTGGGGAAATATAAGATGAGAGTTAACATAATAGTATCATGAATGACGACAACAAACAACAACAGCAAAGCCATTATCCCAAATTTTCGGGGTGCGTAATCCTACTCTTCCACGCAGTTTGTTAGGGGCTATCTCTCAGTAATTTAATCATTATCATATCCCTCTTAACAACTTCTAACACAATTCTGTTAGGTCTATGACTAGTCGTCTTTCCCTCATTAATTATAATCTTATCACTTATCCTAACTTGTGAAAAGGATCAAGAGCGAGCATTAATAAAACAAACAAACATATAAATATTAAAAGGAAAGGGAAACATTGAAAAGAGTATTTCTCATGGACTACCATCAGCATGAGTAAGCTTAGTTATTCCCCCAATAGCTTCTTTTGCTTTGCGAGGAACACTAAGTGAATTTACGTGGTATCCTTTGATCGAACTTACACCCAATGAAGCTGGTATTGCCTGCAGAGAAGCAATGTAAAATAAGGCATATCAAGAAGCAGCATAATCCATTATAGGAAAACTATACCAAGACAGATATAAAATGCTAAATCAGAGGTTTAAAAATGAACCTTAAAGAGTAATCCATTCGTATCTTGAAAGAATAAAACCCATTTCACACCCGAATTTTTCCTGCAAGATAAGAGTAAGGGCTTTTTTCCCTAGAAACCACCTTAAACTAGGGTAATTATATAGAAACCATGTTTTATTTTTAATTTATACCTAAACCACCTTTAAATCGTTTTTTGTTGCAATCAACCACCTCTAAGTCATTTTCACTGGAAGAACAAAAATAAACTTAAGAAAAAAAATCATGTTCAAGGTACATGACTTGATTCCTTACATGTCCTAAACATTAACAATATGAGTCGTGATGCCTTGAATGTGAGTTTTTAAGGATATATTTGGGTTTTTGGTGAAAATTTGAGTGAGAGATGGTTAATTGAAATACAAATCCACTTTAAAGGTGGTTTATAAATATAAATTAAAAATAAAAGGTGGTTTCCATATAATTACCCTATTTTTTAAGGTGATTTCTATGAAAAAAACCCTAAAAGTAATGAAATTTTTATTAGAATATGATTTGACTGGAAGGAAGCTAAGAAACTTAATTCCTATGGAGAGATATATCAGATTTCTGCAGTTTGCATTAAAATCTTCTCAATGCAAAATCCGTGCGAGATAGGGAACAAGAGAATGCAAGTTGAATTCACACACCATTGATTCAGAACCCCACTAGAATGAAGTAGTGCATGAACATCCCCATGACCATGAGGTTTTGTCTGTCCAATCAAAATACTAAAAATGAGTGAAAATTATAGTAAAGCTTCTAAGTTTTGTAGTCCCATGATACACTTAAAAGACGATATACTCAGGCTAAGTGAGACTTCAAACGTAATGCATGTCAAAGATGGAAACTACCTGAATTTTGTACTTGTCATTGGGATCCAAGGCAAGCCTTGCATCATTATCAGCTAAGCAAGCTACTTTTTCCTACAAAAAAATTGAGATCTGTTAGCAAAGATCTCAAGAGATTAGGCCATAAAGATATAGTTTTAGAATTCATGTATTTCTCAGACAGACACCTGCTTAAGAAGTTTGACTTGGTCTGTCTTCATTCCAAAATAAGAATGCGACTCCAACAGCTGTAAAGTGGGTGCATGAGTGTCATCAGATGTCATTATCACCAAAGGAATCTGAGCATCACATTTTCCTACAGATTTACCAGCATTACTATTAGTTCAAGCAGAGACACATGATAAATTTTGTATGAATAATTCAAGACAAAATTAAATTTCATAGTGAAAGACATAAAAAAAAATTAGGTTTTTTGTTTAGAGAACTTAAGAATCATAAAACATCATACGGAAACAAATGTTATCACCAAATTGATGATTTAACATTAACCATTATTCTTTGAAGGCTTTGGTTTCAATTGAAGATTTTTTCAATTCACAGGCGGTTCAGATGTACAGGATTCACCGAATCACCTACAAATCATTCTTTTTCCATAGACATCAATCTTTCACATCTGCAGGCTGAGGGTAAAATCGTTGGCATCTCAAACCAGTAAATGAGGTAAACGTTTCAACTGGAATCAACCAAGAGGTTGGCACCAATTCGACTTCATTGTCTCTTTCAGCTTAAATTGGGTTTATTCCAATCCAGTAACCATCAGGCTATAAGTCCCTCGCTCTCCCTCTTTCTAGTCCACCATTTGACAAAAACTTGACTTACCAAGGACTTTATATTCTTAGGCATTAACTGAATAGAGTGACATGAAATAAATCCACCTAAGACTCCTAATCATGTGCATGTCCCCATAAATAACATAAGTTTTAAGGGGTATGTTCAAGAAGTTTTTATTTTCTTGGATAAATTGATGTGGCTGATGCAAATAAGACACATGCAGACTTAGTTGATGATAAACTGTCAAGTATATTTCCAATGAAGAATTGTCAAGATGTTACATAAACCAGTGTAAAACACAGATCATAAGGCAGTATAAACATGTGCAGCCTGTTACCTATATATTTAGTGTTTATGCAGGTCGAATTTGCAAGCAAGTCATTCAGTCATCTTTAACTTGTTATGAAGACTCATAGACTTAATTTATACATAATAGCATGTTTGCCATAGGGATTTGACTAATTGGGCACATTGAGGGGCGCAATACATGTAATCGCCAAATAATTCTTCTAGACTCAAATTGTCATGTTATTTATTCTTACTGCATAGTTCATGATTAGATGTTAAAGCTGACTATTTACTTAAGTTGTTCATATTATGAGCTAGTCAGATTAATAATTATTACTTGTTGAGAACTTTAAGACGTTCATTACTATTTTTTTTAAGTGATAAGGAAGTTATCTAGCCTACGTACATACACCAATCATATTAATGTCATATAAAAATGGTAAATATTCCTGCATGAAGGTTTTAAAAACTTATGCAATATGCAGAATCAGAATGCATGCAAAAACGCATTTGCATAAAATAACACCGATAAAATTTAGATTTCTCTTATTCTCATAGTTATGAACTTAATGGGCAGATAATTTCGAATATTGATGTCATTTTTACACTACAATATGGATGTTCAATGTTTCTCATGATTATCCATGCCTAAATTTCAATTATTGTACTGGTAAATTAGCATGCCTTCAGTTAGGAACCTACATTAAGGAAACGATGCCCCCAAGACAACGAATCCCAAAGAGAGGGAAGTTTAACCACCTTGAACAAGGCATAGACCAATTAACTGCAAGAGGCATCAAAGAAAGAAGATTGTAACACCAAACTTTAGGACTAAATGCTACGGAAGATATAGCTAGAATGTTATAATTGAAGTAACTTGACTAGCTTCGAGCCTGAATTGAATATAATTATTAATTCATTAATATGCCTACATGAGTCATGAGTGACAAGCTAAGAGATCACAGAACAAGCCTTATTATTCCTAACAACCTATAAAGCACGGACACGGACACGGCGACAAGGACACGACACGGCAAAACCCAAAAAAAATAGGACACGGCAACACGGCTAGATTTTTTTAATATTATTATTATATATAGATCAGTATTGAATTAAATTCATATTACATTTTCATATTTTTTGTTATGTAAAGTGGAGGTTATAAATAAGAAACTAAAGAAAAATGTGTGTTGCAGGTGTGAATTAAGACGTCGGGATGGCAATGATCTCTTGAAAAATTGAAGATAATAATGTAAAAGAAGACAAGAAAGAGAAGAACATATAGAAAAATAGATCAATTTTTTATGTTATATTATTATGTAACATTGACTTGTATAATCAATGACAAATATAAGTTATGTAACTGATTTGAAGATAATACCAAATTTTAATTTCCATTACTTTCATCTTGAGCATATCAAAATACAAGAGAATAAAGTTCAAGTTGCAACTAGTTCCATGGCTACAAAATACTAAGTTACTAATGTTGCAAAAATTACAACCAAAAGTGTATCTTAAAAATAAAGTTCTCAAGTTAAAACATCAAAAGATCATTCTATGGTTTCAACTCCTTCATCCTCCTCAAACACAACGGCCTCCATCGTGGGCTCGTCAAGAGAAAGGGCGGCAACATCTAAAATACCGGCACCTTAAAATGATTCAAATGTATCTCCACCAACATCCCACATTCTTGATTCCCCTTCCATATACTCTTCCGAACTTCGAGAAAGTAAGCGAAGGTTGGTGTGAACATAAACAAGATCCTCCGCACGTACCAGGGTTAGCTTGTTCCTCTTTAAGGAGTGAATGAAACCATACGTACTCCAATTCCGTTCACAACAAGAAGAGGAACAATGTTGGCCTAGAAGCTTTACGGCCAATGATTGCAAATTTGGAGTATTTGCACCATAAAGAAGTCACGATGACTTAGGATCCATATGTGCTCTATCGGAAAGAGAATTTGGATCACTAAAAACCTCCAAAGCCCCCACAAACTTAGCATATTCCAAGTTCACCGTCCGTCGTTCATCGGGGTTAGTATAGTATCTTCTTAAGCACTTTGCTCTTTCCGTAGAGATCTCAAGATCTTGACTTGGAGCTTGCCGATTGACATTCTCATTGAGCCACGTGGAATGATAGTACCTATATTCGTTAATAACATGAATTAGCCCACAAGGTATTAAGTAAAAGAAATATTCGCATTAAAGTGTGAAATGTGAAATATTACCTTGGAACTAAAGAGTGTGCCAAGCACTAAAGCGGGATGTTGCTATTGTTCCATCGATCCACCAAGATCTTGTGAACCACCTCATAAAAAGGAGATTCCTCGTTATCCCTTTTATCCTTATGCCTATAAATAGCTTGCTTCACCTTCTCAATCATTGTATCCCACATATCATACACCAAATGAAGACATGGTGTATCGGTGTCAGTGACCCTTATCATTTCATAAATTGGGCCAGTGAAGTCAAGAATAAAATCTATCTTGTCCCATCACAAATCATCGAGGACTTTCTCTTTAACAAATTGAGCTTTTCCCACACCATCTTCTCTATACAAGCTCCATCGATTACTTAGACCATCTCCAATGACAAGGCAAATATTGCCTTTCTCTCTCCTTCCACCTCACTTTATTCCCCCTCCACATCACTTGTCTTTTCCAATTGCCTTTCAACTCCACAACAACTAGTTTTTCAAAAGTTTTTCATTTTATCTTTCCTCCACATCACTCAACCATCTTCTGACACGCGGAGCCCTTGGTGAAATTTAACCGGTAGGCAAATTTTGCCTTTTCTCTCCCCTACTTTTCATTTGCCCATCCACTTGCTTAGCCATTGCACCAAATAATTGTCCTAATTGTTAGCCATTGCACTTGGTCTTAGGACTATGTCTTGGAGGCCTCTCTTGACGATCTTAAACCTCTTCAACATAATAATCCACGAGGCAAATCTTGTGTCGGCAATCGATAGGAGCTTCATCTTGGAATAATCATTAAACATGGAAAGCCGCATAGAATGATTCATAATAAAATTCTTCATAAACAATGCATCATCGTAGATCTCTGTAATCCAATGTAATTGTGTATAAGCCATGGCATTTGCTTCCGTGTTCTTAGCCGCACAAATATTCTTGATAGCAAGATTGAGTGTATGGACTACATAAGGAGTCTAAAATATGTGAGGTCAGGTGCCCTCCACAAGCCCTCCCGCGGCCTTGCATGCCGAGGCATTATCGGTTATGATTTGGATAACATTCTTCGGTCCTACCTCTGTGATGCACTTTTCTAGCTGTGCTTGGATAAAATACTTATTCTTGACTTCTCCCTCGATATTCACGGCATTCAAAAACATTAGCTTACCCTCACATACCGTCATAAAATTAATGATGGGTCTTCTTTGTGCATCCGCCCACCCATCACTACAAATGGAGACCCCCTTTTGTGACCATGTGCCCCTGATGGGCCCCATCAACCTCTCTACGTGAGTTTTCTCACGTTGTAAGATAGTGGTCCTTATGGAATTGTAACCGAAAGGCTTGTAGCCAGAGATTGGATTGCTTGCGGCATATGCAAAAGCCTTGGCATAATATGGATTCCTTGTCAAGTTAAAGGACAATCCCCCGGTGTAGAACATCCTACCAATCAATGCATCCAATTATTCTCTTGCTCTCATATTGAATGCTTGTTCCATGGTATTAGACCCCCTCCTCCTCTTAGATTCACATGCACCAATAGGCATGCTTGCACTTGCACTTATACCGGTCGTAATTGCAGTCGAAGATATAGGCAAAACTGGCATCTTAGGCTTAGAAGCCCTCAACCTTGCCTCCGCTTGATCCAACGTCCTTTGAAACTCCCTTAGATTTTCGGGTGTTGACTTGGAACACATCTTAATTCCAGTCCCGCTTATCCTCAAGAGGTGATTTTTAACTCTTGAGTGTGAACCGGTAAAATCATCTCTATAATAATTACATCTCCATCTCTAATTTTCTCTTGCTGTTCCCCCCTTTTCTCCAATTTGGTAACATATTTTTAAAGCGGACATTTATCATCTTGTACTCCATTACCACTAGAACCCCCATCTTGTTTCATTTCTGTAAAATACAAGCAATAACAATAAATTAAAAAAATTAATAATAGTAAAATTAATAATAGTAAAATAGTAACTACAGTAACAGTAAATTAAAAAATTAAAAAACCCTAATTAATTAACTAATTAATTAACAATATGATCCTAATTCTTATATTTTTATACAGTAACAGTTAAAAATAAAAATAATAACATAAAAGAAAAATAAAAAATAGTGACAGTAAAGTAAAGTAGGGAGAGAATTGGGGAGAGAGACTGGGATTTGGGTTATAAAAGAGAGAGAATGAGAGAGAGCGATCGGTGGAGAGAGAGAGAACGATCGGGGGGAGAGAGAGCGCGATTGGGGAGAGAGGGCGCGATCGGGGGGAGAGAGAGCGATCGAAGAGAGAGAGAGAGACAGAGAGCGGAGTGACTAACCGAGGCTTGGAGATGATCGACAACGACTGGGAGATGGCGACGACGAGACTGGGAGCTGGCGGCGTGAAATCGGGTATGTTTTCTGATGACTAGGGTTAGGGTTTGGGTTTAAGTTTGAAATTGGGTTTCGGGTTTGGGTTTCGAGTTTAGGTTTCATTTTTTGGTTTCGTCGTGTTGCCCCCAACTTCGTCGTGTCCGCCCTGTGTCTGCCGCGAGTCGACGGAGTTGACCGTGTCGACGCCGTTGACGTCGTGTCCGACGCGTGTCGAGCGCGTGTCGAACGCGTGTCCGTCTCCGACAAGCGTCGGACACGGGGACGGGGGTTGTTTGTAAGAGTCGGTGCTTCATAGCTAACAACAAGAAGGATGAACCAACAAAGGAGAAGTGTTGACCGACCCCAAAAGTACTCTACAGAATTTATGTCCTATTGTGTCATCTTTCAAATTTACTTCACATTTGATAACTTAAAACCATTATTATCGAGGCGTGCGCCCCGGGCGCTGGGCACTAGCTTCAAACCTGAATTGAATATAATTGTTTATCTATTAATATGCCTACATGAGTGACAAGCTAAGAGATCACAGAACAAGCCTTATTATTCCTAAGAACAAGAAGGATGAACCAACAAAGGAGAAGTGTTGAGCGACCCCAAAAGTACTCTGCAGAATTTGTCCTATGGTGTCATCTTTCAATTTTACTTCACATTTGATGACTTAAAACCATTATTATCGAGGCGCGCGCTGGACGCTGCGGGTTGGAACAATTGCGCCCCGCACCAGAATCGGGGCGCTGTACGCACAATTGCCCCCCACACCAGAGACGGGACGCGGTACGCACACGAGGCGCACGTCACATGTGCGTTTGACACATGCGTCATGTAATAGACTCTTTCTTTTATTTTTTTTAAATAATTTACATATTACATATTTACATCATGTAATAGACTCTTTCTTGCTAGTTGCTAATCCACGCTCCATTTTTTAAAAACACTGGATATCTATTTCTTACATTAATCTTATTAACTCACTATCACTATGAAATTACTTCAAAATTTTCCACCGTTGTATATAATAATCATGAATATTTTTTTAGCTGCATCACTGTATATATCATTGTCAACAATAGTCATGATGGAATCATCTTATGTAATGTATTATTGCTTCAAAAAATTCCAGCACCAGATATAACAATCAAGAACTTGATCTTTTAATTCCCACACATGCACAAGCCCGCATACGTTATGCACATGCATGCATCACCAGGCCACCACACACATTCCAGATGATCTACACCCCCCGCACCAACTAACACACACTCACACACAACTCCTGGTACAATTATCAACAAATTATAAGATCACCAGTGCATGTTTCGCTGTCAAAATGTTTGGGATGCTCCATGCTACAATTTCAAGCATATGAACAGGTACATAAGCCTACAAATGCACAGATGCCTGCTACTTACATGGACGACCCGCCATGCACAAAGTCTCTTCGATGTCTATAACACACATAGAATAGGAAGTGTTTTGGGCAGTGTATCATATAGCTGGCTAGAAAGCAAGTTAATGCAAACAAGCAATGCTATATAAAGCGGTAGGCTGCCGCTAGGCGCCAGAGCCGGTGCCTGGCAGCATCTGCTAGGCAACCACCCAGGCCAGTAACACTACAAGCTAGCATGGGTTAGCAAGCAAGCACGATGCATGTAGAAATCAAGAAAACAGTCAAAGAAAGCAAGTGTTCTGGACAATCTATCCTAAAACATTTTGTAATGACATATCATATAATTGCATTCACCGGAAAACAAGCACACACAACATGTTCTATGGATCATTTTTCTTATACCTGCATCAGCCAGCACACACATCAATATATTTTTTAGTAAACTATCTTTTAAATTCTTGTACATAGCATAACCTTCTTGCTGAAAAGAAAAAAGGAAATGCACTGAAAGTACAAACTTGACATTGGACTTCCATCAATGCTAGAAGTTTTTTTGGTCAACATGATATCAGAGCCTTGCTATTGTATCGCGATATTAGAAGTATTTTGTAATTCTAGAGTTCTCTAGAAAAATCTACATCTTGTAATATAGAAAGATCTAGAAATAACCAGCGAATAGAAAATAGAGATATGTTAACCAATGTTTTAAAAAGTAGTCCACCCACCTAGACATAAGCGGCACCTAGGGTGCCCGCCTAGGTCCTAGAAGCACCTAGGTGAGTGTGGGCCGCTTACACAGACTGCAAAACTTAGGTCCGCCTCCATGGCCTCCGACCCCTGCTCCGGCCTCCTTCACCAACTGCAAATATCTCCACCTCCTAGTCCTCATTTTTAATAGCAAATTAATGTTAAAAGCCTTAACCTATGTATCCATATCACACTATATAACAACATCATCTTCCTCCGCTACATCTCTTTTCAACTACTCCCGAAACCTAGTCCTCTTTTTTTATAGCAAAAACTATGATATCTGGCGCCTCCAAATAAAGATTCTATTCTCCTCCCATGGGCTTATGGAACTTGTCGAAGATAACTATGACTTGGTGACATGGGCATCTCTTCTTTAATCGGCGATGCAAGTGAACACAAACGTTCATCTTTTCAGTTCTACATTGCCTCTTCCTTTCAACTTTCTTCTCTTCTCAATCCTCCAACACCAAAACAACTTCTCACCTAGCTTCTGCAACCCCAATACCACAACGGTAAGGAAAAAAACGAAGAAGGTATGACTATGTGTTAGACTGAATACAGAGTAATTTGTATTTAGGATGCAAGAAAAGCATAGAAAGACATGATTACAAAAGCAGCAAAGAAGAATGGCTAATAAAAGGAGATTTGCCCTCAAGAGGAAAATGAACATTACTGCGATGATATGGAATTAGGGCCCAATTCCTAGGTTCCGATTTTTATCTGTTATCCTCAATTGGGGAGTTTAATGGAGAAGTTGTATTTAAAAGCCAACTGTGCAGTTCGAAACAGGTTTAGTTAGGCTCATGACTATAGCATTCTTAACTCTGTAAATATAGATAAGGGCATCAAACTCTAACAATAGTTGGAACAACAGTTTCTTAATTTTACTAAAGGTAATATTAACTACCTGAAACGAAGTAAGAAGATATTGATCATGGATGCAAAACTGGGGACTACTATTGCAACTATCAGTAAGACCAATCAAATTACAAAAGTTAAAGAAAACTCTTTGAACACAAATAATAATAATAATAATAATAATAATTGCTAAAAGGTGCTGTAAGGCTAGCATCAAGTTTAAATGTTTTATATGAAGCTAGCACGTTTAAACTAACCTGGAGAGAGTTTACAGCTAGCCTCCTGAAGAGCAAGAATTGACTCTACGTAATGCTGCAAGAAGCATGTCCCTGTCGTGATTTCTGAAGGAAGAGCTAACTGCATCGCAAATACAGGACTATTTAACATAATGTGAATATACCAAGTCAAATGGAAGTCCTTAGGGTAAAAATATAGTTTTTTTCAACCAAATGCATAAAACTAAATGCACAAACCCAAGTATGACAAACCATACCAAATGCATAAAACTAAATGCACAAACCCAAGTATGACAAACCATATGATGATTTATCATTTATATGCACCCTAGACCCAAAGCATACCCACAAACCCAAGTATGACAAACCATATGATGATTTATCATTTATATGCACCCTAGACCCAAAGCATACCCACAACACGAGTTCTTTAACATGTCTCCTAAAGTAAAGTAAGAAACAAAAGGGAGAAATACTAGCAACATACAAGTGGACTAATTCATCAGTATGAGAGAAAATAAGATTACACCTTAATCCCCTTGTACCCAAGCCGTTCGCCAAGCCCACCTGCGACAAGAACAAATGCAGCATTCTGTGCTTCTCTAATGCCTTCTTCTTCCAACATCATAAAGTTATCATCACCAAAGGTTAATACTTCGCCTGATGGAACCTACACAAGAAATCTACTTCAGGCTATGTCATAGTCTAACTGATAATAAAGAGCAATATGCAATTTGTAGCTTTTTAGATATTTTGGAATAATCTTATCAAATGTTAAAAATAGATTCAGCATAATGCATTGCTTATCTGCTTTTAACTGCTCAGTATCAAAAGTCACTAAGAATTATGTCACATGAACAATATGAAATACCATGTACATCAATGAAGCATGAAGTCTCTAAAAGATAAAATAAACTTATCAAGGTTGAAACTCATTTTGATGGATAATCTAATAAAGTATCTCCAGATGCTGGCATGCTGCAACAATTTTGTGATGAACAGATCAATACAGTTTCTCCACATTTCTATGAAAATTTGCATTGATATTGTATACTGAGAAGTTACATGAAATCAATTCCAAGTCTCCATGACAAGCTCCTGGATCAGTCCACTCAAAGGTAACTCAGGTTTTCAGGCTGGTTTATGTAACGCCCCGTCCCGGAATCCCGGAGTCGGTACGCTATTAGATCTGATGGACTGGCCTCACAAACCACCACATGTCTTTTCAGCACGTTTTGTCCTCACTCACACGCTACCTGGAAATTTCCCGGGGGGTCACCCATCCTAGAATTTTTCCAGACCAAGCACGCTTAACTTTGGAGTTTTTAAGAGTTGGGTTACCGAAAAGAAGATGCATCTTGGTGGTATGAGTATTCCAATCAAATCGATCAATACTAATCACATCACCCTCTCAAGGGTTGTGGTATTACAAACTCCCCCACTTAAACTCACAACGTCCTCGTTGCGCCAGTTCATATCATCCAAGACCGTACCATCCGTGTGAGATTCTAGATGTGACTCCTACGGCCTCAAGAGGTGGCTCCCGCCCTCTCGACATAGCACTTTGCGCCGCATAGCACTTAGCTCTTACAATTCCGGTTGGCTTGGCTCTGATACCATTTGTAACGTCCCGTCCCGGAATCCCGGAATCGGTACGCTATTAGATTTGATGGACTGGCTTCACAAACCGCCATATGTCTTTTCAGCACGTTTTGTTCTCACTCACACGCTACCTGGAAAATTTCCCAGGGGGTCACCCATCCTAGAATTTCTTCAGGCCAAGCACGCTTAACTTTGGAGTTTCTAAGAGTTGGGTTCCCGAAAAGAAGATGCATCTTGGTGGTATGAGTATCCCAATCAAATCTATCACTACTAATCACATCACCCTCTCAAGGGTTGAGGGGTTGGGGTATTACAGTTTATCGCCTGCCATGTTAGATTGGTTTCCGCTAAATAGAGTTATTCAGACAACTAGACAGATGATGAGACTCACATGATCACATCTATAATTCTTTTTTTTCCAGTGGCTAAAACTTCACTTCTGATTGGTCCAAAGCCAAAATGTGGACAGACTGTGCTACTTTTTGGTGTAGTTTATGAAACTCACTTTCATGATATATTCAGAAAATATCCAATAGAAGTATCAGAAGTGAAAACTCAATTCTCAAGTTTGTGTTACATACCTTTAGTTAAAATTTATGTCGATCCTTCTATGGTGTCTAATTGTAGGGTTGTGGTAAGAGACTTGTAGAATGAGGAAAAGATCCAAAACTAAAAGTAAATCTTCTACGCTTTTTAGACAGGCAGTTTGTGGAGCTGATCCACATATATCAAAGTTAGTATAGGCCCACATTAGTTTATTGCTGCCCTTATTTGTATGATATCATCTGAATAGATCAGATATGGTTGTCACTTGACCAATGCTAGTTTATTCATTTAAATTAGCATAAGAATGTTAAGATAAATCAAAATCCTACATAGTAATGTATAATAGCAAAGTTAACAAAAAACCCAACACAAACATAAAACTATCTAACATGAAAAACAATATGTCCCATATAGGACTTAGCAAATAAACCTACAATAGATAAAATGACATGGTGAGTTAAAATTAATACAAATAAAAAAATTAAAAGTTAAACCGTAAATGACATATTGAATTAGCTTCATAGTTAGTTAGGCACAAAAAATCATATATATATCAACACAAAAACTGAACACAATAAAAGCTGTATAAATATGTTGAAATTATTTCAGTTCGCAACATAAAAATTAGATCCTCCCAATTGAAGTAATGCTAATGAAAATATGATAATATATTAGATTATATCTGAAATTTTTTTGTATTGTCAGTGCAACTATAGTTATTAAATTTTATGCACGACTTTCAATTTATTCATTTATGCTGGTTATTAATTCATGATTCGCTGCATCAGCTTTTCTAAGACACATGATTTCATCAAAATCTCCTCTAGATTTATAAAAAAATGTATGGAAACATTACTAATATTTCTCGAAAATTTTAGTCTATTATAAGTTATCTTTATGATGTCAACACGAGAAGGTGTATGCGCTGATCTGAAACTGGCAAAATCACAGAAAATGATGTTACAAATACCTTAAGGATCCCCAGTACAAAGCCCAAGATATTAGGTGTTAACCTATACCTCTTACGGTAGCTAGTCTAGTTTGATTATCCTGTCTGCACGCCATGGTAGAAAATGAGCAAAACAGTAAAAATCCTGTGAATCTCAATCGCTGGAGAACTATAATTTATGTTAGTCGGGTAGTTCTATCATGAAGCCATACCGGTACCCAACATGTACCATACTGGAACTTCATGGACACTCCTTGGATATATGCATACATTTATTCCAACATGTACTCAATTCTATGATAAATGTTTTAATTTAAAACACTTCTCATACGCTTTTTGAACGTACATCCTACACTTCACATGCATTTTTTGAAACCTATTAGACATGTGTCATGTTTGTTTCAGCTCATACCCAAGTTCAAAACTATGATTTCAAAGGCTTGTTTGATTGTTTAGTTCAAAACATGTAGTTTCCAATTTATAATAATCAACATAATAAAAAAAATTAAAAATGTGTAAGAACTTTTTGTTCTAATAACACATATTGAAAAATAATAAAGGTTTTATGTAAATTCTTAATTCCAAACATATATCATATCATACTCTCTTTAAAAGCACGAGTTCAAGAAAATCTTTTGATAGATAAAAATACACTTTGAATTCAAATATCATTCTATTAAGTAAAAGTAAGTTGATAAATTAATGAATTCTTATTGAATATACATAGTATGAAGATAAGGATACAATTTAAATTAAAATGTAAATCTAAATAAAATTATTAAACGCCAAATTTACAAATATCTACAAAATAAATGGCGTATATGTAAAAACTAAATAAATTAATAAGACAAATAATAGCTACCCCAAAGGTCAAACCCGGGAACAACGTAGACCCACAAATCTATATAATGTGGATGAGATATTTACAAAATTCACCAAACAAATTAAAAAGACAAAAGTCATTCTAAAAATTATAAAAAAGAAAAATTAAGAAAACCAAAAATCATATCATACTCCCTTTAAAAGCACGAGTTTGGGAAAAGCTTTCCATAGTCAAAATTATACTATGCTACTTTAAATATTTAATTTAAATTATAATTTATCCTAATCATACTTATATCTTATCCTAATATTCTATGAACTATCAATAGGTCAACAATTTAAATAAGATTAATAAAATATATGAAACAATTTAAATAAGATTAATAAAATATATGAAACACCTCCGTAGTATCAGCTTATTACATGAAGTATTACAAAAAAACTAAAAGTTTTAAAAATTAGACAAACTACTCTCAAAAGTTTAAAATTACACAAAATAAAAAGCTAAAAAATTTACAACTTGTCAAAAAAGAGAATAATTGTTTGATGTTCTTTCATTAAGATATATAAATATAACTTATAATCTATCCATTTTTAGAATCTGAAAATAGTCAAGTTGATACTGGTAAAAAATGGTAATAATAACAGATTAAAAAATCCAGTCAAAAAATAAAAAATTTAAAAAATATATAATTGATTAAAAATTAATATTATTGTATAAATTAAAGTAACTGCATATAATTTTACCAATACATTAGAGCAGCAAAAATACATAAGTATCATTAATTGATAGAAGAGTAAATCACAAAAAACTAATAAAAGACTATAATATAATAGCTTAACATTAATTGATTATAATCTATAAATATTGATCTTTAATGGTAATAATATTTATGGGTAAAAAATTATAAAGATTTATGTATATAGGACTATAGAAAATTTAGAGATATCATTCAAAAGAATCAAGCGGTTTTCATTTCAAATGGAATTCGGAATGTCCATGAATCACTTCAATTGACACTAGCATAAGTTATATTTATCAAAGAAATACTGACTGGATACCCACTGAAGAATATATTGAACAACTTTGTTCCAATCAAAGAAACATTCTTTATGGAAGATAAAAGAAAAATTACCATGTTACGACTCTGCGTAAGCAAAAAATATAAAATCGCTCTTTTTCTTTTTCTTATATAGTGTCATGACCCTGCTTGTGACTTTATTTAGAGGTATCACTACTAACGAACGATCAATTCTTAAAGACACAATCAAAGATAATGATGTAATAGCACTATTAGAATTTAAGATCTCTAAATATGAAGTAGTATATTTCATTACTAAAATTCTTATTAAATATCACTAAATATAAAATTCACCTTATATCTGTCTCAAATTTATAGAGGAGACATGCATATCATCGTAAATTGCGTCACTAATATATATCAATCCAAATATACAACTTACTGAAGAAATAAGAGATTAGTAAGCAAACCAAGCAAAGATCCAAATAACACTGTAAATAAAAAAAATATTATATTTTAAAACTAATATGCAGCATTCTTTTGGAGTAAGCTGCTAAGACAAAAGCATCTCCATTAAGGCTCTTTATAAATACAGCAAAAATTCAAATTACTAATATATACAACCATTATAATATTCGAAAGAGGTATGATCTTAGAAAACCTACTCCAAAATTCATACAATGAAAACCTAAGAATAATTTACCAATATACGGACACACTATCGCACCTTTAAAGCAATGATAAGTGATAACTACCATTTAAATAGAGTTGAGCAGTGGTTCTATACTTCTATGTTTGTAAATGTTGTAACAAGAGAGTGGATAGAGATGTTAATAATAAATGTCCAGATGATAAATATTATAGAATCGTCGATGATGTAGTACCAAGGTTAAGTGATATTTTTTCTTCATGAAATAAATATATCAAAATTAAATATTAATATTATAATCTAAAGAAAATTAATAATGAAAAATGTAATGTATTTAGTTCAGATCCTCATGGAAAATGACACAAACAGGGCAAAATGTAACATTATGACACATTAAAAATTCTTATTGGATGCACAACAGAAGAATTCATTGTAGAGAAAAAAGAGCTAGCTCCTAACCTTATTTAAGTAATAAATTAGAAGCACAAAAATTTTAATATATATGAAATTAACATTTATTCTTATTAAAATAGGAAAAAATTAAAGTCCATATTGTCAGAAGTTTGTGTTGAACATAAAAAATATGTTCAACTTCTTTGTGAATTTAGACGAGAAGATAAAAAACTAATGAACTCAAGGAAAAATAACATGCTCCAATCTCATATAACAATCGATGTAGACGATGAAGACACTATTCTAGAATTGCCTAGGAAAAGATAAAGATGAAGAATAATTGATCTCGACTCGATAAAAAATAAAATAGCAATAACAAAAGATAATGTTTTGTGAATTGTTATAGAATAGTTTTATTTTTTTAGTAAAATTAGGAATCTTTAGAAAGGATTCTCATAAACTATTTTAGTGCTTTCATATGAATATATGGATGATTTTATCATATAAAAGTATACTAGAGTTAGCATTAATCTTTAGCTTATGATTTTTTTCATTAACTATTTTCTATCATTTTAGCCCACTTTAAATCAATCATCTTGACTCGTTGGCTTTATTATTCATCTTCCTTTTATAATGTTATTTTTTCAAATGTTTTCACTTTCATAACGCTATACTTCCTCAGGTCAAGCTCGGTTTCATGCCGATCAAAATGAAATAAAAATTTAAATTGGCTTTAGATTATATTTATCTCCTGACAATTCAACTATCAACATAAAAAATTTAACCAGGTATAGCCTATTTAAACAAACATCAAATAAATAAATAATCAAAGTGTAATCGAGGAACAAATTTTAGTAAAAAAATAAACCAAAAACACTTAATCAAAGTGCGCAAAAATTATCAAAGAGTAACCGAGGAACAAACTTTAGTAAGAAAATAAACCAAAAATACCTAATCACAGTATTTAACCACGTGCATTGCACGTGCATAAAAGGCAAATTTTTTGGTCCTGTACCTGCACCCACACTTATACCTATTTCCATGCAACTTAGACTATAATATTCAAGTATAAAATTACTAAAAAATTTTGTTGATCATAAAAGGGTAAATCTTCTCTGGAAAGTAAATCACTAAAATGATTTTAATTAAACTAAGATCAACTTCTAGTACGCATGATGATTTCCCCCAGAGCAAATAGCAAAGTGTTAATTTTGACTGAAATAAGCATGAGCAGTCATTTGCTATCCATGAGATTTGACCCAATGAATACTTAATAGATCTTCTAAATTTTACAAAAGATATTCAGAAATAAAAAACCAGTAATCCATCTTGTCTTTTCTCCAACTTGCACTCTAACATTCAGATCATCTACTGACTTCAATTCTTAGATAAGTCATGATTGTGGCTTCAATTCTTAGATAAGTTGCGATTATATCGCAGCTGAACTAAAAGAAAATTTAACTAAGCAAATTAAATGATCAAAATCCCATAAAGACATTAATTGCATAGTTAAAATGTTAAATTAACCGACCGAAGGAGTAAAGCCATCAAATGGATTTTTTCCAGCTTTTGAATCCGCTAGTAGGCTCCTTGCATTTTTGATATATGATACCAAACCACCAGGATAACTTGCATTAAGCCGCGAGACCTAGAACAAAGTAAATGCATTAAAGGGACAGACACTAAAAAAATGATAATCAACGTCCTTAGCAACATGAAATTCAGAATCTAGATGATATCATGGTTGGGCAAAGATGCATGCAGACTTCAGAATGAAAAGAACACCATCAATGTGGGCCAAATTTCACTTTCATAATACATGCTGTAAATTTAAAATAATAAGTATGACAAAAGTAAATGTCAAGACTGACAGTGCCTAAGCACATAAGAGACGTAGATCACTGTGATATTAACCGCCAAATGAATATCAGAAGCTCATCATGTAAGATTTTTGTATACTCATTATAACTAAAGTACTAAATGTATCCACCACCAATTAAGTTTGGCCGACAGATGAATGTATATCAACGGTCTCGAAATATGATGCACTAAAATTGATTGCTGAGGGAAATTCAATAAAAATATTTACTACTTAGATGAAAAAAGTTTCCAGATGTACTGTCCGTTCTGGCTCTATTGAACCTGGATTGTGACAGTCAAACGGACACGGTAGTAATGTAGTAGCTACATGTGAAAGGAAAATGACTCACAAAAAGATAAAGGGAGAAAATCATGTGCTAGTAACTCAAGAAGTTGGTGATAAAGAGTTTTTCAGGAAGAATGAAATGCGATATCCCATAGTGAAATCTTCCAAGGTCAAATTATCAAATGTATATACAATATAAACAGATTTCTATATTAGAATATCATGCCACAAGCTACTGGCAGTTTTTCGAATTAGCTAATTGTATGTAAGTGAATGCCTTTGCTTTAGTCATTAAATTGCAAGTTCAAGCAGGTTTGCACTTAAATAGATCAGATTTAGACTGCATATGAATCAATTTAAGATAATAGCAAATAGCTTGAAAACTAATGATGTCAATTTTATACCAGATGCATTGAGAAACATAAAATGCAATCTCAGAAGGAAGCAAAATGAAAAACCTGTTCAAAGAAACTCAGTTTACTCCTATCATCAACACCTGGCTCTGGCCAATGAGAAAAAAGATGGCTCTGTCCCTCACACAATAACATTTTTGCAAGTTCAATCTGTTGACCAGAGAACATAACACAGTTAACAACAAGCTAGAGGGAGCACGGTTATAGTAAGCATAGGCTTGCATAAGCAGTTAGAAATTGCCCTTGTGAAGCAAAATATATATATTTATTGATGAAAAGGAAAAAAGCAACAAAAAATTTGCTAAAGAATCTTAGGCTCTAACTGCAAATTAAACTATAGGCATCTACAACAGTACCATCACCCTGCTAACCCGATGAGCAAAATTCAACTTAATGAAATCTTAAGCCCGCGATTGAAAAAAGAAACATAAATGAAGTGTAGGCATGTTGTTAGAGAACCAACATGACATGACAAAGAACATAAGCGAACATCACAACAATGTATCAAAGCATTAGTGAGTAGTATTTTCCCAATGGTATCACCCCTTCGTGTTTCTTCTTTCATTAGTTTTTTTTTTTTTTTTAACTTTGCATAGATGACTATGTCCACTAGGAGTCTCTTCACACACAAAAGACTACCCATCTAATGATTATAGAACCAGAGGAATCACCTTATTATGTCATGATTTTTTACGGTGGAAATGGTAAATCTTTTAGATTCACTAAACGAGGAACCAACCGCTTACGAGATAGTGAAGTATTCCACTTATTTGATTTTTTTGGGGAGGAAATATAAAAGTGCTGAATCCCCCAATTTAACAAAATAAAAAATCGAAACTTGCTACATCAAGATCGATACCTGTTCCGGAGACAGGATCTGGAGATTCTTTCGGAGATTCGGAGCTGAAGCAGCCCAATCGTCGCTGCCGATGCTGAGATCGGAGAGCTTTTCAACGGTGGAGGATTCCATTGCCCACAGAGCGAGATTAGTGATGAAGGAATTGGCAGAAATCAGAGAGCAAAAAAATCAGTACATGAAAACGAAGAAAGCACTCGGAGTCGGAGGCCTCGTGGGCTGCGGCTGGGAATGGGATTTTCGGAATTGAGCCTTTGAGAGGTTGAGGGATGGATGGGGTAGGGAATGAGTATTGGGTATTCGGTCGGCTCGGGTCGAAAAGTTTTCAACCCGACCCGAACCGCCTACAAATAAAATCGAATCAGACTATTAATTTCGAATCGGTTCGATCGGTTTTTTCGGTTTGGACCGAACCATGCTCAGCCCTAGGAGTGGAGGAGAAGGTGGGGGTTTGTTGAGGGTAGGGATAGCAAATTTGACTCATAAGAGCTTCTCTAACGTAGCTTCAAATTGACGCAAAACTCCAAGTTGAAGCCGATTGCTCGCTCTAACCGAATGCTAAGCTGGACGCCAAATTGATGGGCTGCAACAGTGCTACGCCAGATTTGGCGCAGCACTATAGATATGAAGATTTCGATTTTTCTCAAGTTTGTCCTTATAGTTTGTTATAACAAATCAAATATTCCAACCATATCTCATTTTATAGTTTGTAAATAAAAGGAATATTTTTTTGGTGTAAAATTTGGTGTAATGATTGGAGATGGAATAGTGATTTGGTGTAAAAACTACACCAACTTTGTGTAAAAACTACATCATTTTGGTTTTTTAGGTTGGAGATGCTCTAACCGCTTGCAAATTTGATAAGGGTAGGGATAGAATACACTTAAAATTAGAAAAATAGCAACAGCCCTTCAAAATTTTAAGATTTACACAAAAATTATAAATTATAAATTTTTTTGAAACTTTCTAACCTCACAAATGACACATGAAATCATAAAATTTCCAATAGGCCCACATAAATTTAAAATTTACAAAATACACCATCAAAGTTTTAGAAAATGAGAAAAACATCCTCAAGAGTTTAAATTTAGAAAACAATCTCAGAATTTTCTAAACTTGCAAATGACACATGAAATCTAAAAATTTTCAGCAGTCCCCTAGATATTTAAAATTTATAAATAACACCCTCAAAGTTTTAAATTTTGCAAAAAAACACCCTCAATGGTTTAGAATTACAAAAAACACCCTGAAATTTCAAAACATATAAATGACACATGAAATCCAAACAATACCAGCAACCTCCTAAAAATTTATAATTTGTAAATCAAAATTAAAAACTCTCAGAATTTTCTAAACTTACAAATGACAGATGAAATCTAAAAATTTCCAACATTCCTTATAAATATAGAATTTGCAAATGACAGCCTCAAAGGTTTAAATATTATTAAAAACACCCTTAAGGGTTTAGAATTACAAAAAACATCCTAAAAATTTAAAATCTACAATTGACATATGAAATCTAAAGATTACTAGCAGCTCCACGTAAATTTATAATTTACAAAAAAACCCTTAAAGTTTAAAAAATTGTAAAAACGCACTCAAGAGTTCAAAATTACAAAACAATATCGAAATTTCTAAACTTACAAATGACAGATGAAATCTAAAAAATTTCAGCAGTCCATATAAATATAGAATTTGCAAATAACACCCTTAAAGTTTTAAAAGTTATTAAAACACCCTTAAGGGTTTAGAATTACAAAAACCACCCTAAAATTTTAAAACCTACAAATGACACATGAAATCTAAAGACTACTAGCACAGCCCTGTAAATTTATAATTTATAAAAAAACACCTTTAAAGTTTAAAAAATTACAAAAACTACCCTTAAGAGTTCAAAATTATATAAAGCTCTTAAAATTTTCTAAACTTACAAATGACAGATGAAATCTAGAAGTAAATATTTTGAGCATCCCCCGTAAATTTAAAATTTGTAAAAACACCCTCAATGTTTTAGAAAATACAAAAACAACCTCAAGGGTTTAATAATTAGTAAACCGCCTTGGAATTTCAAAACCTACAAATAACACATGAAATTTGGAAATTGCCACCAACCGCTTGTAAATTTAAAAATTGCAAAAGATACCCTAAAAGTTTGAAAATTATGAAAAACATCACTAGATTGAAATTTATGGAACACAACCGCAGAAGATGCTTGTAATTTCTAGGTTTGTAGTGTGTTTATCTACATGTCTCGAAAAATTTTTGGTGTTTTATGAAGTTTTGAAATTTTAAGGATGTTTTTTACAAATTTTAAAACTTTGGGTGTATTTTTTGCGAATTTTAAATTTACAAGCGATGTTAGAGATTTCTAAATTTCATGTGTCATTTGTAGGTTTAGAAAAATTCTGAGAGTTTTATATAATTATGAATTCTTGAGGGGGTTTTGTAATTTTTTTTTAAATTTAAGGGTGTTTTTTGAAAATTATAAATCTATAGGGGCTGCTAGTAATTTTTAGATTTCATGTGTCATTTGTAGGTTTTGAAATTTCAGGGTAGTTTTTGTAATTCTAAACCCTTGAGGGTGTTTTTTTTTATTTTTAAAGTTTTGAGGGCGTTATTTACAAACTTCAAATTTATAGGGGACTGCTGAAAATTTTTTGGTTTCATCTTTCATATGTAAGTTTATAAAATTTTGAGATTATTTTGTAATATTAAACTCTTGAGGTTTTTTTTTAATAATTTTTAAAATTTGAGGTTTTTTTTTTATATTATAAATTTACAGGGGGCTGCTAGTAATATTTGGATTACATGTGTCATTTGTAAGTTTTGAAATTTTAGGGTGGTTTTTATAATTCTAAACCATTGAGGGTATTTTTCACAAATTTTAAAACTTTAAGGATGTTATTTATAAATTTTAAATTTACAAGGGACTGTTGAAAATATTTAGATTTCATGTGTCATTTGAAAGGTTAGGAAATTCTGAGATTGTTTTGTAATTTTAAATTCTTGAGGGTGTTTTTTATAAAATTTTAAACTTTAAGGGTGTTTCTTATAAATTATAAATTTTCAGGGGGCTGCTAATAATTTTTAAATTTCATGTATTATTTGTAGGTTTTGGAAATAGACCCTAATACTTTTTTATATATAAAAGTCAAATCACTAAATGAGTTATTGGGTCATCCATGAACCATTCATTTAACAAATGGGTGGATGAGAAATGACACATTTAACAAAGCTTAAATGTATCATAATGGGCAAATTGGCACAAATATGTCCACCCATTTATGAGTCACCCCAAACCCAACCAAAACCACCCTTGACAAGCTTAGTTGAGGGAGAGGGGGTTTTACTGTGCAGGAAAAAAACCATGAGACTACTAGTCCGATTAGTTTTTCTTGATTTGTTTAGGACGCAATTAGCGGCTACTAAACACACAGGGCTACTAGTCATGTGTGTTTCAAAAATAAAATTAAGCAAAACCGACCTTTTTTGACCAGCTCATCAGAGCTGGCAAAAAAGAGATCGGTTTTACTAAATTTTTAGCAAAACAGTCAATTTTGCTAAATATTTATCAAAACTGACCTTTTTTTAAAAAAATTCCTTTATAAATTCTACACTACAGATAAAATTCAAACCTTGTAGTTTTTAATAAAGAGTACACTAAAACCTGCTAGACAAAATGCCAACTGTTAGGGGGTGTTTGGCAATCTGAAAGTGAATTTAAAATATGTAAGTTATTTTTTTGCAAACGACTTTTACATCCATGTCAGCACACAAGTGAAATACAGTGTTTGTTTGAAAAATTAAATTATTATCGAAAGTGCAATGTGAAGATGACGTGGCAAAATAAGATTAATTAGAGAGTATAATTAAAATCATTTAATTAAATTAGGATGACGTGGCAAAATAAGATTAATTAGAGAGTATAATTAAAATCATTTAATTAAATTAGTTACATTTTTATCACTTTCATGTGACTTCACCATTTTTTTAGGGGAAATCAAAATTGCATTAAGGGGTGTTTGGCAATCTGAAAGTGAATTTAAAATATGTAAGTTACTTTTTTTTACAAATGACTTTTACATCCATGTCAGCACGCAAGTGAAATACAATGTTTGTTTGAAAAATTAAATTATTATCGAAAGTGCAATGTGAAGATGACGTGACAAAATAAGATTAATTAGAAAATATAATTAAAATCATTTAATTAAATTACTTACCTTTTTGTCACTTTCATGTGACTTCACCACTTTTTTAGGGGAAGTCAAAGTTGCATTAAATCTTATGTGGCAACTTTCTTACATCTCACTTTCATAACCACTTACATGAAAACAAACACCTTAATTGTTAAATGAAAGTAACTTTCTCACTTTCATCTTTCACTTGCATGCAAACAAACACCCCCTTTGTTTCACACACGTAACTATGAGAGATTGGGCATTCTGTGTTGGTACTCAGCGACAGGGAATAATTTTAAGGACTTTTTTTCACATTGCCCATATTTTTCTCTAATCCTTTATATCGGGTAAATTTTAGAAAACCCCTTAACTTTGAATGTTTATCCAATAGCCCCTTTGGCTTTCAGAATGTCACAACCCCCCCCCCCCCCCC